GCATCACTTTGATGCGAGAACAGACAAGTCAGAGAAATGAAAGTAGGGCCTCAGTGTGACTAACTTTCCTTCCGGCTAGATAACTCAAAAAGCTTCCAGCCAATTCCGGTGAAACTTCACAGGGAACGAAATAAAGGTCGGCTGCACGGTAAGAGACGGTTCACACAGCGTTTGCGTGCATACTTTACTGAGGAAAAAAACGCAAAAATTGTGCTCGCAGGGAGTGCGTGAACCACCTCTCGGAGAAATATTGGTGCTCGCAAATGCTGCGTGAAACGTCTCCAGTATTCTTTCCTCATCCTTACTATCCTCATTTTTCCTCTGCTTTTTTTGTATGTTTTTCACTCTCTTGTGAACTCATTTTCGGGATGCCTTGATAGTCGAAGCAGAGTAAGCCTGATTCCCCATTTGGACTTCTCTGTTGACATCCACCCCTTGGCGCTTATTTGACCTAATGCAGTTGCGAGCGCCGTAAAACCTTTCTTTCTGATCGCCAACGCCGAACTGTCAGTCCATATCGCTAGATCTAGTTGATCTAGTGCCAGAGAAAGAAACATGATTCGATTTTTGATCAAGTAAGACCTAGAGGTCATGTTGAAACAAAATCATCATCAGTGGAGATATCAAAAGGAAATAAACAGAACACCAAACTCATAGATTTGGCCTACTTTACATTTTCCCTTGAATTTATTACTGGATCCCTTATAGCGAGAATCCTGCTATACCGGACATTTTGCTCCGGTCCCCTCCCTCTCGTTATAACAGGATTCCACTGATATGAAATATAGGCAGAGAGTTTGGACCTGTTTTTAGTCCTTTTCAAACAGAAAAATAATACAAACTTTGAACTAATCCTACAATTACACTAATAATACATTACCCTCTATACTACATTGTGGATATTTACGCCCCCATCTACACAATTTAGCTGCCTGTCGGGGCCAACCTGGGCTGAAAGGGATACAAAACCCCAGCAGAAAGATAGAGATACTTTGTCAAAAATCATCGTCATAGAGGAATTGAATTGCTATCATGTCTTCTACGAAAGAGGGTGAAGCATCAAACCACTAGGCCTGCACTATATATTTACTAGAAAGAGTTCAGTCAGTGCAAATTAAAAATAGCTTTTCACAGCAGGTCAGGCTCGATTATGGAGTTCCACAGGGGTCCGTTCTCAGACCAGTGCTCTTTACACTATATACACAGCCCTTAGCAAGCATTTTACAAAATCATGGATTGAATTATCATTTTTATGCCGATGATTCCCAAATGTATGTTAATGGCACCATTCAAGATCTACCAAACATGATTTCTATCACTAAACAATGTTTTTATGAAATTAAAAAGTGGATGACAGTAAAGAAATTGAAACTAAACGAAGAAAAGACAGACATAATTCTTATAAAAAATCCACGATTAAATAAAGATCTGGAAAGTGTCCTATCCTTCATAAGCTTTTAACGTTATCTTTCATTATAGTTGTTCTGTTCCTATGTCTGGATGAAAATAGTCTCTGTGTGTGTGTGTGTGCGTGTGCGTGTGCGTGTGCATTAATGTATATTGCATGAGAAGAAAGGAAGTAGTAAGAAAGGTTTTTGAAAAATGGGTATTCCAATGTAAAGCGCATTGAGCTACTTTTTTTGGAAATGCGCTATATAAATGTTACATATTATTATTATTATTTTTACTACAATCTTGGCTGGTGCTGTCCTTGCCTTGACAATGCTTCCAACAGCTGAAGCTGAAAAGTACGGAAAATTCTGCAGGGGGTCTGAGGGCTGCATAGGTCCCCAGCAGGGTCTCAACTCAGAATTTTAAAAAAGGAGGAACTTTCCGCGTGATCGCGACAGAAGCCCATTTTCGCGAGACACCCACTATTATTATACTGTTGAACCCTAGAATGCTGAAATAAAAACCATCAATTTATCAAAGCAAGGTTATTTCATTTGAGAGTTTGGAAGATAATTTCAAGTAAGAGTCACCAAATATTTACAATCTTGATTACGCACAGAAAGTATGGCCCACTGGGGTATTGCGCGACTTATTTATATTTTCGCCAGCATAAACTATATAAGAATGGATCTTGATTTCGAGCCTGAGAAAAGGCCTTGAAACAGAATATCGACTGTCATGAACGAGTCTGGATGTCATGATTCATATCATTATCATAAACGTGAAAGACAAAAATTAATGCTCAAATTCAAAGTAGAGTAAAAACTTAAATGGCTCAAGTAGACCTATTCAGTGTGAGAGATGTAAGAACTGTGGGAGGGCAAGATGCAATGACACTGAAAATCTGCGAATTTTGAACAGAAAGCTAAAATATAGAGATAAAATTTACTGTCACCCATCCAATAAGTTGTGACGGATTCTGATTCCACACAAGGCCTGCACCAACGCGCACTTTGCTTTGAAGAGAGCTGTAGTAGTAATCAAAATTTGAAATATTAAAAATTTGCTTAAAATTTCAGTTTTTTTGTCCTCTAGTGTTGCGTCCAGCCCCCCCATCCCTGAGTGTATCTTTAAAACAAAAATCAATAATCCCCCCCCCCCCATTTCGGAGTCCTGTCCCTCGCAGCGTTCAGAACGATAGTGAGCCCGACTTGCTTGTATAACTTTAATTTCTTTTTTTTTTGTGCCCCCACAAGCGACAACACAGTCACACAGTGACGACTGTTGCTTTATTTTCATAGCGACACCACGTTTGTAATGCAGAACCTGCATGTCACAAATGTTGTGCAATCAGACAATTATTACTGACAAATTTCTGGGTGGTAACGAAAACGAAAATCGATCTTGATTTTCCGGTCGAGCCTCTGTGTATCATACAATTCCGCTTGCCGCCATAGCTGCCTGTTCGCGTGAAACTTACTCTCAGACCGGGAAAAGCCGAATTAATATCACAATAGTGACAGGCAAAAATGAACTTAAAGACGTTATCGGACTTGGTTTTCAAATATTCGAGATCTTTTACGTTTTTTCCCGGGTCTCAGCGATTTTTTTTCAAATTCCCGGGGCCTGGCAATCCCCCTGCTCCCAGCAACTCTCTTTCTGATTGGCCCGCTGTCGCCATAGCGGAGTTTAGCGGAGGAAATGGCGGTAGCGGAAATCCGCTAAATAGCGGCATATTGAGACCCATGCTGGACAGCATTAATTCTCCAATTTTCTACAAACCAGGCTTTCTGAATGCAATTATGTAACCTAAATTGCTGTTAAATGGGCACTGTTAGCAATTGACCACAACAATTCCCTTTCTCCAATGGAGTGGATCTTTTGCGAGAATATCTATGCGGCCACCCCCTCCCTGGGTCTCCTTTGTTGTTTTCTTTATATTAAGACATTTACACATGATATTTATTCATTACTTCAACACAAGAACCTATAATCGAATAAAAATATGATAAGAAAGCTTTGTAATGACCATGGACAAGTGACCAGTCAAATTTTCACTTTAGGATATTTTGATCGACCAAATTCTTCAAATCACTGCCGCTCTCAAACTTTGCTGCCTATCAAGACATCTTTGTTGTGAACATGTAATTCATGCCAGTGCATCACGGGAGCTAAGTTTCCGTTCGGAAATCGAAGGAAGACCTGAGTAATTTACTTTATAAGGAAAATGGCCGCATAGTTTGTCCCGCCGCAAATAGTGCCTTTACTCTAGAGAAATTACCTAATGGCAGTTTTCCTTCGTCTAGAGTTGTAGTCGTCACTGTCAGAAGAAGAGGAACTGGACTGTTTTCTCTTCCTGTTCAAATATAATGAATGAATTTACAATACTAGGAATATGGGGGAGTGGAGGGGGGTCTGAACATGTCCAAAAAAGGGCTTAACTGAGTTAAAATTCTTGTGGTACATTGTGTTAAAAAAGAATGCTGTCTTTTTCCAGATGAAAACAATATGAGCAAATAATTCAGCCTATGTAGTTAAAGAAATTACCTAGAGGAACTTTTCCTTCGTTTGGAGTTGTATTCATCATCGTCTGAAGAAGAGGCACTGGACTGCAATCTTTTCCTGTTCAAATATAGTGAATGAAGTTACATTTTGAGTTGATCATTGTTTGTGTTCTGCACACACCAATGTATGATGACACGAAAGGAGTCAAAAGAGAACTGGTCAGCCCTTTATATATATATATATATATATATATAATTATTATTTATATATATATATATATATATATATATATATATATATATATATACAGAGAGAGAGAGATAGATAGATAGATAGATAGATAGACAGATAGATAGATAGATAGATAGATAGATAGATAGATAGATAGATAGATAGATAGATAGATAGATAGATAGATAGATAGATAGATAGATAGATAGATAGATAGATAGATAGATAGATAGATAATAATAATGATTATATATTATTAATATATTATATAATTATATGGTGTGTGTGGTTGTGAAAGTGTTTATACAGAGAGTTAAGTGTGTTTACTTTACTGATGAAGAGTGTCATTTTCGTTATTATCGGTGTTATTGTCCTTAGTATTATTGCACTTTTATATTATATAGCCTTTAGTATTTTTATCATCCGTGCGACTGCAAATACCGTTCCAATTGTTTGAACAGCATTCGTGTCTATTGTACAACATCTTAGGGCTCCTCATAATTTACGAATACAGAGTTAATCAAAAGAGAGGTGTCATTTGTGCGTTTATTAAGGCCATACACTGCCATAAATTATCATCGGTACAATCACGCTCGCAGAAACATGTTACACATCATGCAAACACTTCCTGGTGCCTCCAAATCAGAGTTTGTTTGGGAGTTCCTATGTCTCTAAGTTTACGTGTGTTTCGGTATGTATATATGTTGGTGTTTGCAAAGGGGCGAGGGATAGAGAGAGACAGAGAGGCATAAATAGGGAGAGAGGAAATGAGAGGGAGAAAAGAGAAAGGAATCAAGAGGGAGGAGAGAGAGAGAGAGAGAAAGAGAGAGAGTAAGAAAGAGAGGGAGAGAAAGAGAGAGGGGTACAGAGGGGGAGAGAGGGGTAGAGAGGGGGAGAGAGGGGTAGAGAGGGGGAGAGATGGGGAGAGTGAGAGGTGGGAGGTATGCATTTTATATAATGTCCAGGTGGGATGAGAATGAATGCCCTAGCGTTATAACATTATGATATTACTCTGCAACATGCTGGCC